CAGGAATGCATATATGTTTTTATCATCTTCCCACTGAGATTATTGTTAGCTGAATTGTACAGTTCACCAAACAACCCTCAGAATTTTCATCAAAGCATCCAGACATGACACTGTAAAGGGTTAGTACACTCACTGGAAGAAACAGCAAAATGTTCTCAGCAAAATTCTACTACACATTTAGAGGTAGGAGAAAAAAACCTCCTCTTGCTTCCAGCTGAGCTCTTCCCTTTAAAGTGATTCATAAACAAAATGTCCATTTTCTGTTTGAAAAGCATCTGGGAAAAGCTCTCCTAGAATCCACAGGGTGGCGCAAGACCTTTTCTCTGTGTGTGGACCATAAAAATTACATCTGCATTACATTAGGCTGCTACATTTTGTACATCACATTTAGCTAAAGCGCTTAACCACACACATACCAAAACAGGACTGAAAAAAAGCAAAGGTCAGAGACATGCCATTTGGTTTCCTAGTTGGAGCGATGGTAATAGTACAGTATGTTGCACTTGGAACTCATTCTCATTACCTCCCAGCTATCTGGCTCCAAAAATTCTTTTTTCTCTGTAGCTCGCAGGAACTCTTCCAAAGTCACTAGCCGGTCCTTGTTGATATCAACCTATTTGAAGCAAAAAATTAAATTCAACCTAAAGGATGGGTTCTGTCAGAGCTGATGTTTAACTTCATTATGCAAATATCTTCAAATATAACCATTTTATTTTTAAACTGACTCATTTGCAAGGGAGTACCTGCAACATTTTCTGAAAACTTAACTCACAAGCTCATATAGCTTAACAAAAATGGAAATAAAAAGTAAATCCTCACATTTTACTTAAATATCCATTGGCTTTATTGGAAACATTATTTGTGGTCATAACTCCAATGCTAATAGTGGCATGCATGATTTTTTTTTTTTTTTTTTTAAGAAACGCATTTTGTAGCTTTCTGGTAATAATTTTGTAACTGTGAGTCAGAGTAATCTCCACTGTTGGACAGAGAGTTTTAAAACATAAAAAAAACCCCAAGTGAATTGTGTCAGAATCCTTGAAGGAGAAGGGAAGAAATGGTTCCCTTTATGACTAATAATAATGGAGCAAGACCAGGCTTGCTCCATTCCAAGCTTAAGGAATATAGTTGAATACAGAAAAGATAGGAGTGAAAAACACAGTGGTTCAAAACCATTCTTCCCTTTCTCTGTCTCCTGAGTGGAAAATCTGTCAAAACTAGCAAAGGTATTCACTGTCATTGGTGATAGCTTGAGCTCTGAGTCTTCTGAAGGGACACGAAAGAAGACATTGCTCTACTCCCTCTTCTCACACCTAAATCCTACCCATTTGCCAAGTAGAGTCTTCCACGTTTGACACAAAATTCACAGGGAATGTCTACTGAATCTCAGTATCTACAAAAGATGGAGGCTACAGCACAATTCCTTCTCTGGAACTTTGTAAATAAAAAAGTCAGCAGGCATTTACATATGGGGACAAGGCTTGAGAACTGTAACTTCACGTGAATCCCAGCACAAACGGCATTCAGTGTGACAGGTCATCCCTTTCTGCTGTACTTGGGACAACACTTCATGTTAGGAGGAGTGTATTTCTTTAACATAGAAGGAAATCAGCAGCTCTACTGAACATCAGTCCCCACCTCGTTCATTACATGTTCCCTCATTCTCAGCCTTTCTTCTTCCATTTCAACCATGTCATCCTCTTCATTTTTGGGATCATAAACTTTTTCTAGCTGAAATTAAAAATTAGCAAATGTTAGTTTAGAGAAAGGGCTTCTCATTCAAATGACAGAGCATATCTGGAACAATAGCATGAGATGTTGCTAAAAAGCATGAGTTCTTCGTTTCTCCAATAGAGTGAGAGTGTGTGTGTGTAATTCTCTTCTTTTAGCATAGTATTTAAGTAACAAGTGAGCCTTTCATTGCTAAGAATGAAGTTTTCAGTTAATTCATGTGGTCTGTCGTAACTCAATGCTGTGGACATTACAGCAAAATTGACCTCAGCACACACAGTCTGATCCTACATTTGATTCAAGGCAGGCAGAGTTTCCACATGGTTTCTGGAACAGGAGAGAGTAGCTTTTTTACCAAAGCATGCAGCTGACCATGTAAGCATTCAGGATAACACAAGACAAACCAAGTACCTAATTTAATGGTCCGCTTCTCTTCTTGCACAATGCCTTTCTGGTGAGTTTATGCTTATTTCCTTCTACTTGGCTTTCTTAGTCATTTAGCTTCACTTGCTTAGCTATATGTAATTTTAAGGCCCTAGACTACTTGGTTTTTAAACTACAAAACTGCAAAATAGTGGGACATACCAGTCAAAAAAGACTGCCATATATCTTCATTGTATTAGAGGGGATTATGGCAAAGTATTGTTAGAAATCTGTATTTGCAAATTTAATTTCTTCAAAAACTTACAGTAGTTTGAATTTGTAAGCTTCTATATACACTGTATAGCACACTTTCTCCCTGACTCCTGAAATCTAGAAAAAATTGTTAAGACTAGATATTAATAGTATTGGGTCTTTGAATAGGAAGTTTAGGGGTTTTCTTCTGCTATACCAAAACAGAACCTACTGGAAAAATGAAGACCAAGGCCCTTACTTTACTCATTGATTCTGCAATTCCCACGACTGTAGAATTTCAGTACATTGCTATTATTACTCTTCTGGGAGGAAAAGTAGTACTAACTTTTGTATTTTCACAGACAACGAACCAAGGCTTAAAGAAACTGTCTACTAAAGAGCCTGTCTAGTTTATCAGATGTACTTGTGCCCCAAACTAGCTAGATAAAAAAAAATGTAAAATTTCTGTAGCTGCTTCCACCATGTGCTGTCTTTGAGCCAATTCGCGTGACCCTTTTTCTGTCTTATGACTTTAGATTAGCACTGAATGAGCACAGATACCAAGCTTTAGAATCTGTACCAGGCTGCATCTAGCCAGAGCAGGAGTGCAGCTCTCTGCACTGCAATTTATACAGGTATAGCTGTATAAAAATCTCAAACAAGCCTGTGGCAGAGAAATACAAGAGTACTAGATCTCTGGTGTCCGATTCCTATGCTTCAACTACTTTATTTTCCCTGCTGATATGTTTTTACACTTTTGTAGAAACCCTAAGGATGCACAAAACTTGGCATGAATATTCTAATTTATAGTCCAAAGCCCCCAAATACACTTGGAAAAATATAGACATCCCTGTAACCATTTACTGAAACAAGTTAAGTTTTTGAACTTTTTTTTTTTTACCTCTTTAGTAAACAGGGCTTCTAATTCTTGCTCATCCAGGAAACCATCATTATTGACATCTACAAAAAGAAGTGTTGAAAAATACAAGTTGAGTATGTACAGAAAATAAATACATGTAATAGTTCTCCATGAGTTAAGTATCAGCACATGCACCTCACCTGGATTAAAAACCTCATTTAACAAAATGCTGGTTACATAGGTCATTTTTTCTGTTTAATGTTTTATCAGGCACTGGCTGAACTGTATTGCCATTTTTGGTTGGTTGGTTGAACCAGTCTGGAGCAATCTCCCTACTTCTTAGATTAGCAAACTGAAATAGGTTACAACAGGATTGCACAAAGTGCAATTGCCCAAAGATATTACTGAAACCAAGTTGTCCCAATTTAACAACTAAATTTGTAAATAGATTCAGGAGCAACAAAAATTTGTAGAAAAACTTCATTAAGCAAGAGTATGACTCTCCAAAAAACCTAAAGAATTATGTGAAAATCTACATAAATATGTAGTGGTGGAGAAGAGATCACTGTAAAATGACTTTTCATCACAAACCCAAAAAGAGAAGAACGCTTGATAACTAAAGATCCATCTTTTATCCTACGTTCTACTTTGAATATTGTTATACTACCTCTGAAATTGAAAGAGAACATCTGCTTCAAATGAGTATTATCACGCAATATATTTGTTTAATTGCTTAAAAGTTTATTTTTATGTACTAAACTCAGGCAAAAGGTTGTTGCAGCTATTTCTGCTTTGGTAAGATTTGCACAAAAAGCCTACCAAAAATTTTCAGAAAATGATCTTTCAAGATCTCTTTCTAGAAAGAAGAAACAATGTTTAATAACTATAATACATATTACATATTTTATAAATCAAGATAAAAGTTCACACTCAAGCTAGAACACTTTTCTTCAGTTAAATTATCATATTTGGGATTAGGCAAATTCTGTGTACTGTTCAACCCCTCAGCCCAGTTCCAGGCAGGATCTGCTTAAGGGTACTTTATTATGAAGCATTTAACGATGTCAGGATATAAGGTTACACGTTTATATAATCACATTTAAATCTAAATGCCCATTGAGAGGCATCCTCATCTCTGCTACTATTTTATTGTTTCTAGCTGCACACCGTTCAGAAATACAAATGCAGGATTGGGGGTCATTTTGGTTTTTGTTTTATTAAGGGAATCTTGTAACTTCTGAAGAAACCACTCCAAAGATAAGGGGAGTCTGGCATTTATCTGCAGAGATGATGAGAAAGCAAATTTTCCCATACACACCTCTGAGTATTTATTCCTAGTACGTAGTGTATAAGCAAAGTTATAGTTATGGACAGCCCTCTGAGTACCTATACTTCCCTGAGCAATCACTACCGGCTATTGGCTGTATGATTTTACAAGCAGTTGAACAAAACTCTGTTTTCAACAAACTTGCCCTCAGCAGAAGTAAAAGAGTCACTTCACTTGTTCGTTAAATTGAACTAAACCTCTTACCGTGTAATTTGAAAAATGTTTTGGGGTCAAACTCATTAGGATCTAGTCCATCTGCTTCTTCCCACACCTCTTTCAGTTGATCTTTGCTTCCCTATAGATTGATTACAAAGAAAAACTATTAAAAGAATGATTAAGTGTAATTTTTTCTTGCATTGCCTATGCATTACAGTTTCTCTGAAAGGTTTTATTTTCCGATTTGTCATGTTGCAAATGGAATCAATGAAATTTTCTTTAATTCCCTTTTGGTCAGGTCTAATACTTCCATTAGACAGAAAGGCCTGGGGAAAGAGGGAGTGTCAAGGAAATACGTATCCTGTGGAAAGGAACACCTGTAACAATCAGTTATGGCTACACAGACTCATCTAGAAACAATAGCTGAAGGGAGTTAAATTAGTTTGCCTTTTCTAGAGCAAAAGGTGCTGTGACACAGCTCCTTGCAGGTCAGATATACTACGAAGGCATCCCTACAGTTTTCAATACTGTTCTGGCTGCTTTCTCAGGAGTTTCAGCTTCTTTGTAAATAATAATTCTGCCAGCAAATAGCATACTTGTACAGAAAAAAATGGGGGTATATATAGTGGGTTTTGTAATGCTCTCAACACTGTTCCCACACTTTGCTCCCATGTCAAGGAGAAAAGGCAAATGCCGAGAACAAACAAGATACACCCTTCGCTTCATTAGCTTTTTCTTTCTGGAAAGGAAAGCTTCCACCCAATCATGTAAGAACAGACTGTGGCCTTACGGGATGGTGAACTTTGGGATGATCTCCATGTTTTTTCTTCATCTCCTCAAATTTGGATTCTTCTCGCTGCCTCTTTTCTTCATCCAGTGTTTTTAAATACTCTCTCCTCTCATGTTCCTTCATCATCTCATATTTTTTGAACTCCTCATGGCGGGTCTTATCATAGTTTTCCAGGTCACTTGTAGCCTAAAAATATAGATATATGTAAACATATGATTATATTAACATGTATGATATTAAAAACATTATATTGTTCAGATCTGTGGGCAAGGCTGGACATACTGCCATTCTTTTGCTAAACATGAGGTAGACTAGTTGGGGGTTTCCTTTCACGTGACAGTGATGCAAAAACATCCCTCCTCACTTAATTATTTTCACATAAATTAATTTGCAAGGGTTCAACTGCTGGAAAATTTTTGCAACTTACATAGTACTGTAAGAAGGCATCAAGGTGTCCTTTCTCATCAATTAGTAATAAAATAACTCAAGTATGTCCCATACTAATTAAGGACAGCTTCAAAATAGTGCCATTAACTCCTTGTTTATTTCAGAATAAGAACATTTGTAGCTTATCCTGCAGTTTAATGAAAAAAACCCAATTACATGGAGAAAAAGGTTGTGAGGGGAGAATTTCCGACAAGTACTTACATAGAGTTTAGAGATGTATCATTTTCACTGACACTGAATGCCATACCCAGCACATGCAATTTCTAATACTGATATCTTAAATTCTACTCTGCTGTGGTTTTCCGGCTTGATGTATATATGATAGATCCCAAAATTCAAATGGCTACTTTAGAGATGATATTTTACGTCATTCTATTCTAAAATAATTTAGACTTAGAAATCAGAAAATACACTTGGGAAAAGAGTACCCCTATCAAAACTGCATTTAATTTAAATGCTACCTGAAAGTCATATTTTATTCCCAAAGTTGTTTGTACTGGCACATGAATGCAAGTCCTGTTAAGATGCCACCCCAAAATTTATGGGCTCTTTAGGATAATGCACACTGACAACAGTTTTCAAGTGTGCAATAGAGACTACTGACTTTTCTCTGAAAATGAAAACTGCATTTAATTTATAAAAAAAGTGGTATATATAAAAGGATTTGCCTTTACCAGAGAAAAAGCATAATAATTAATACCAAAAACCCCCATAGTAGTTTATATCTTGCACTCACTGCTTTAATCAACATATCTAAGTCTTTAGGTTCAAACGTGTCAGGATTCTGATGGTTCAGGTGCTCAAACTGTTTAAGGAGAGCTTGATGGTCTATGCCAGTGTCTGAAAGAACAAGGTACAAACAAAAACATTAAAATTAGTTTGAAATCAAGAGAGATCAGGAAGTTAAATTTTCATACTGGAGCTTGTGCCTTCTAAGTACCTGAGGTTCCCTGAGGACTGGATAATTTTTTCACTGTCGGAGGAAACTATAGCAACACTTCTAAAGTTGCTTTTCCTGAAGGAGACTGGCAAACTTGATAGCAATTTGCACTATATTCCTTCTGATGTGTCAGTGTTGCACTGCACACAATAACTTAATGTGCACAAATTAAGGCTTGTGTTTCAGCAAGGCAATATACAATCAATTTGAGCTTCACAAACTAAGAAAAACATTTTATTCTCTTTTATATAGATGAGGTAGTTGAAGTTATGTGCAATGTCAGAGCATTGACAACTTGCATCTTTTTCCTGAAGTGGGAGAAGTCTGACTCTTCTATTGCCCTGTACGCTTTTCAAATGACTTCTATCTCGCCAAACATGTACATACAATATGGTATAAAATTATATCAAATCAGATAAGCAGATACTCAAATTTCATTTGTGCAAAACGAGAAGTGCAAGACAGTGGAGAGTCAGGTCCTGTGTCTAAAAGCTGCCAACATTTCTCTCTTCCTTATGACAGGAACTATACCCAACAATATCAATACACAATCCACTAACAACAAAACACATTTCTACAACAGGCTTTTCTAGCTGTTACCATGGTTTCTGACTGCTAATGCTATATAATAATGCTATCTTAAGCAGCATACACTCTGATATGTTATGTGTAACAATTTTGCCAAGCTTTTACTAGTTGGCTTAGCAAAGAATATATGTTTTGTTTGTTTGTTTAAAAAAAATGGAAAACACAATTTTGAACTTCTTATTCTTTGTTAAACTATCTGTCTTACACTCAATGCTGTGTTTGTATTATTACAAAACAGCAAACACTGGCTGGGGCAGATTTCAACTATCATTCCTCCCTGGTGAGATCATCATTTCTGTTGAAATGTATGCGCCTTAGCCTGTTTTTGAAACATTTTTTTAGAAGTGTAATAATAGGCTTTTTTAAAAAATGAAACAGAAAAAAACCAACCAAACAAAAAAACACCCTGTCCCCAAACCCATTTTCCTCCATTCCTTATATTTATGGGAAAAGACTCATTCTATTTGACAGTATTTACTTGCCACATTACTGTATTATCTGAGACCCAACCCCTAACATTGTTCTGTCCTGTACTGATCAGTCCAATAGGATCTTGGTGCAGATGTTTAAAAACACATCTGAATGAGGACTGAATATATGCAGAATATAATCTCCAGTCTGATTAGGTTGGTTTTTTTGTTTCTTTTTTTTAAACCTGATCCATCTGAGAGGGAAGAAAACAGGGGGGGTTGTGCACTGCTTTTTTTTTTTTTTTTTTAGATCAGACAGAAGACTAAGATATTAAGTGGTGTTACAGGGAAAAGAGTAACAGAACAAATAAAAAGAAATCAAAGAGCTCTGCCATTACTACACAATGCTCTTTTGTACATGTTCCAAGATGTTGCATAGCTGTACAGATGCAGCTGTATTTTATAGATAATCTGGCCATACTTCTTGTATGTGGTGTAAGTACTCACTGGTAGGGCTGATTATAAACTTTGCAAAGTGTTTTCCCATTCATGGTATTTTCACATCTGAGTAGCCATCTGAATATTTTGAACTGGAATACTTTATTCTTGCTCTTTACCAAATGTAAGATCTCACACTTGTACTGTAACAATCTGATCTGTTGGGGGGAATTATTTTTCTAAGGCGTGCTCTGTTAGTTACTCTTGATTTACAGGAGTAGAGAGGGCTAGAAGTAATCAGTCCATTAAACTATTAAAAAGTTTCAAAATACACAAATTATTATGTACACAATCAGGTATCCTTAGCTGCTGTCACCTAGCTCACTGTGAATGTCACCGTGATGTCATTGGACTGCTTGCCTGCAATAGGAGCGTGAACCTGAGTTCTTGGCTGCTAAAGAGCCGTCTGAGGAAGATGAACATGGGGGCTGGCAGGTGTGTGAGGCAATGCACTGACTCCTGTGGAGGGGCTACCGCTGGTCTGCACTGTCTAGCTACCAGTGGACTGTAGTCTCTGGACTATAACACTCATTAAAAGAAAGCAAAGAACAGAAAGGTGATCTGATGCTCTCTGCCAAGTCTATATTATCATTCATTAATTATACTACGGTAGCACCTAAAGACTTCAGTGGAAATCTACTACACCATAAATATCTTTTTTTCCAAATTAATCTGATGCTTTCCTGACCCTAGTAACATCCCCATGAACACATATTTGCACATGCATACTTCTTCAGTCTGCTTGCCACCTTTAAATTCGGCTTAGCCTAGAAGACTCATCCTTATTCTTGGAGTACTTTAAATCAATACATGACCTATTCAATTCAGTGGGATCCCTCCCCATAACTTGCAAATGTTTTTAATAATAAAATAATCTGCATAGGCAAATTAAGCCCTTTTTGTTAGAGCTTCTTTGTGAAAAACAGCATTTCAGAAACAAGATCATGCAGCCCACCATTAGGATCTTTGTTTATGAGCAACTAATTGTCTTCAGAAAGAAACCACTAATAAGACATTTACAGGATTAGTTCTAAATGCAAATTTTTAAATTCTTTAATAATAAGAAATAAAAAGGGATAGCACCATTTCCCACGCAAACATACAGCAATCAGAATCATTAGAAACCTGTATACTTTATTCATTAAAAGAAATTGCCCGAGTTTGTACAATTTCATCAGCAATTAAGAAAATGCTACAGAGAAATTTTTTTCATTCCAAATGTTTATCTTTATTCAGGAGCTTGAAACTTCCCCCCAAAATAAGAAAAATAAACCTCTGAACTTTAATGTTTGATGTTTGTTACAAATCTGTACATTAACTTGAATTGGTGGAAAGGGGGAAGAGAAAAATGAAAACTTTTCTGTTAACTGTAAAAAAAAAAAAAAGTACTTTTCTACCCTGTAGAGACATGAAATGCTATGTCATATTGTATTCTTAAACATAGTTCTTATTATGTTATTAGTTCTCAGTGGGTAATCTATAAATTGATGCACTACAAAAATAAAGAGGTTGAAAACGATTAGTGTTATCTGAAAAACCCACTGCCAGAATCAAGTTCAATTATTTATAAAATACAGTTTGGCTTTTCTCTTCTCCCCAGTTTCCTATAAAGATGGGTCTTTACTGGCCCTAGGCCAGCTAGGAAAGGACACTCACTTTCAGCTTACAGTTGTTGCTGACAACAAACAAAGCATAACTTACGGATTTTGGGCACCTCTCCAACACAATTCCATCTGTTAACTCACCTAGTTAAATTTTATATTCTTACCTTGAACAGAATCCATTTTAGCTTTAATTAACATTCTTAATCTTGCCACCTCTTGTCTTTTTAGTTCATCCAGCCGTGTTCTCACATGGTGGCTTACTAAATCAAGCTCTCTGCTTAGTTTTCCACTCTGTCAAAAAACCAAAAGTTATGTATAAAAGCCAGAAGAAAGTAGCCTTTAGGATTCCCATTAGACATGAGCTGCAAGACAGCAGACTAGTGGCAGTCTTTGGCACTACTGTAGCCCACATTATAAGAATCTCAACATTTTTTCAAAGAACAGATTCAAATTTTTTTAAGCCTATGGTTACAGAAACAGAGTAGAATGCTAAAAGCTTTCTGAAAAGAGAATTTCTAAGTATCTTGCTCCTCCAAAGAGCAAAAGCATGACCTTGCATGACCAGCAATACCTAATAATGTTTAAGAAGTGACAAATTTCTTGATCAAATATTCTCAAATTAGTTCAAAAGAACTGAGATGCAGACAAAGTGCGGTGTTCTTCATCCACTTGATGACAGCTGTAAGACTTGAGAGAATGTACAAACACAGCAACAGCCACCAATGTGTACTGCAAGAATATTTATCAGGATCTGGAAATGGATAATAAACTTCGAGGGCTACATTAGATGTAGCATGAAAGAAAAAGGAGCCAAAAGCTGCCAACGGCAACGTGAGGGACTAAAGGAAATGCAAAAAGTAGGATCTCCTCTTTAAGTCTATCACTTTAGACTGTTTCCTACCTGTCCCTTGCTGAATTTCTAGCTCATAAAGGGGAATGCAGAACAGCCACCACCTAGAGCCAGGAACTAAAGTAGAAAAGACAAGAATGTGGTGAGGTTTTGGAGAGAGTGCTATGTGAATTGGCACAACAGAAAGGACAGCCGTGGAGAAAGCCAGAGGTCTATTTTATTTCTATGTACACTGACTTTACCTCTAGTACAACTCTTGGATTTTCCCAGACTTTAAAATCTGACTTTCTTGTAATTCTCTTCCATGTCACTATATTCATCTGTGACATGCTATCTTAATTTCAGAAGGCAGATATACGTCTATGTTTAAAACAGTGTTCCAAATCCCTCGGCAGGCAACAGCAAGCGAGAGCTTCGCTTGCAGCTGTTTTGATGTACACAAAGGTTTACCTACCTGTATGGAGTCTGAAACCGGCTTTTTAGTAGACAGGCATAAGGCAGAAACTAAGCATTCAAGTATATGTTGTTGGGAGGTTTTTTATGCTATGAGATATTGTTTAATTAACAGAAGTTCTGCTGTCCCTTGGCTAAAGGCAAAGATCTAGTAAGAGTTAAATACCTAACTAAATAAAAATGAGAGGAAATTTAAGCTCACAAAAAATGAGAGAGTATGAAGAAAGAAAAGGAAGAAAGAATACAACATACATGGCTCATGATTATGGATTTAATTAAGCTTAATTTAACTTCTTTTTTAACCTACCTTTATTTCCTCAATGTCAGCAGTCTGGAGTTTCTCCCTGAAATGCTTATCTGTTTCCAAGACATCTATTACTTGCCTGAGATATTCATCATAATAAAGTCCTGTATCCTTCAAAAAAAAGAATGTGAAATTCAGAAAAGAATATACTACCAAACATTGTATTTTGTTTAAATACAATGATTAAACTGAAACTCAAATCTTAGCAACACAAGCATTATACTCTCTTACATATCTTCGTTTTTTCTGATTTGCATCATTGCCCTATTATAACTTATTCTTATGATTCACTTGTTTCAGCAGCTGACAAGGAAGAGGAGAAAAGTGTTTAGGAATCCATGTCATACACAAGCATCTGTCATGTTAATATAGTTTGGTGTGGTTTTGCTTTTTTTTTTTTTTTTTTTAAAAAAAAAAAACCACTGCAATTCATTCATTGCTGTTATATTTGAAACACTGAGCTGGAATCACCGAGTGGAATTTCCTAAGCCACGACTCAATCTCTCAGAAGAAGTCCCTGTGGAACAGTAAGCAGTTCTTCCTATTGTAAGCTGGGGAATTCCTTCTGTGTGCCACCTCACCTTTAGCAGCTCATGGGACAAAAGTAAAAGAGAACAAATTTAAACGGAACCTCACCATACTAGATGGTAGACTGTCTGACAGTACTGGCTAATATTAGTTTCCTTCCTGCAAGTAACTCCAGTAAAGAACATTTAAATTTCAGGAAGGGAGTTTGCTATAGCCAGATTACGAAAAATTAGAAAAAATACTGAATTAGATAAAATTTCATTACACTTACTGGATTTTCTACCTTCTCTCCTTCTACGTGGCCTTCTCCTTTGACTTTTGTCTTATCTATGTCTATAGGTACAGCTTCCAAGGCCATTAGGAGACATGTCATCAGCAAAATACACTGCTGGGGCAGGACAGATAGCCACTTCATCTGAAATGAGACCAAGTCACAAAAATTAACATAATTGATGTTACCATACTGTACCGATCAGAACTTTTTTGACGTTCCTACATAGATACCTGTAATAACCCTCACGTGTTTTACTGCTCTCGGGGAACACTGAAACTCAAAGAATTAAATGCAGCTTTAATTTTTAAAGGCCATGATTACACAAGAAGATTTCCTCAGATTATCTTACAGTTGTGTGGCAAACCTAAGTTGTACTGTGAAAGGTTTTTAACATTTTGAGGTATTATTAATGGCTCCACAGAACAGGTGGGAACACCCAAAATTCATGTACTTGTTTAGGATGGCCAAGTCTTACATAACTAATACTGATGTTCCCACTCTGATCAATGTCTTTGCTGAAGTTATTAGCAAATTGCTAAAGATAACCATGGACACCGAATCAGATCTTAATGTAGTAATGCCAGGAGTTTTTATGTTTTAGCAATAGAGTATTTTGCCTAATTTGGAGGCAAGATGCCCTCCAAAATTTATTTGCGGGAAAAATATTTTACAATCCATGTTATATCCGTATTTCAAGTTGACCAAGATTCCTGATGAAAGTGTTCAGACTAACCGAAATTGTTGCTGATGCTAGGGCTTTATTAACTTAGTCTCCCCTAGGCTTTATTTGGTATCTTATATAGGGCTAACTCGCACATAGTTTGATGAGCACCAAGCTCTGTGTTCTCCTTCTCTATCAAATTTGGTTGTAAATAGCGCAATTCATTCAGAAACTGATAAAACGGAATACTTAAACAGTGCAAGTACAGGAAATGCAGCGAAAAAGTAATTATGGTAATCCAGCATCTGGCAGTGAAGTCAGGCTCTTGAGACAATTCAGCCTAGGACAGTCCACAAGCCTGAGCAAACTCTACAATGTTACGTTAGTAATACAAATCACCGACTGGAAAGTGAAAGTTGCCAGTCAAATACTGCCTGAAATTAGCTTAGATATGTCAAGGAAAGAGACATGGTATTAAAGAAATGTGCAAACAATTAAGAGTACACCTGCTACAAGGAGATTTTATGTACAAGTGCTTTAACTAGTCATGCAAGTAATTCTATCAAAAGTACTTATGTCCACCAGCAACTATCTTTTGGGGGGGGGGGGGGAGGAGTTGGGAGGGACAAACTGTAATTATGGTGTCAGTGCCAGTTTTCCTGATTACATGCTCTGGTACTCGACAGTGAACCACTATTTTTGCTTGGAATAAGCTTCCCCTTTATGAAGGCAATAAATGTAGATAATGGTACGTACTTAATATTAAGCATTGTTGACACTTTTAGTCATATAAGTATTATGCAAAGAAAGCACTCCTATGAAGAAAAAAAAAGGGAAATGCACACAAGATATGCAGAGATATTATTTCTTTTGTTGGGGATGAGGGAATAGCTGGAGATAAAAATATATCCATCTATCCATCTTTTGTTTTATATGTCAAAGGCTCAAGAATGACAAGAGTTCTGTTTTTCTTAATCACATCTTCAGCAAAAAGAGCCTAAATGGATTCTGCTCAGTTATAGCAGATACCTGTTATTTTCATTTAAAAAATTACTAACATCTAATCATTATCAGATGGGACAGCGCAAGCTATTGTTGTTGCCATATTGAGGTACTAGATTCAATGTCAGCACTACTGTCAGATCCACAAGAGCAAGACTGATTAGCTTTGCCTAGGTCATTCCTTTAAACAAACACACAAACAAAAAAAGAAAGCAAACACAGATTGATTTGCTGGAACTAGTAAGTTAATTTCTACACTTTATGCAAGTTATTGGCTTGCAGTGACTTCATAGAGCTGATGAATGAAGGAGTTATTCACTATCACTTTTAAAAATGCCAAAGTTGCAATGCCTCAGACGCTTTTAATTACAGAATATTGCTGTATAAATGCTGTGCCTACGTTTGCAATTTCAATACGCTTTAATCACAGGAAATTATAATAACTAACAAATACTAGGTTTTCTAGTCTCCTAATCTTGATATAGAAGCCAAGACTGAATATTTTTGAGTACTAACTAGATGATTTCTATAAACCAAATCACCAATTTAATGGACTTGCCCAGAAGTTTCCCTTCCTGTCCTCCTACGGGATTTTCAGGCTAGGCTAGGTTACTTGGGCAAATCAACAATGCAGCTGGGAAGTCCTGAACTAGAGCTATCACTTGAGTTTGTATTGGTTAGTGGCACGGCTCATTTTATGTATCAGTGGCATGGATAACATTAATAAGCCTGTAGGTGGTACAGGCCATCAGTTCTTTTAGCTAGCAGACAACCACCACCCTACTGTTGTTTTGCTTTTTCTGTCTTGCATGGACAAGATCACCTAATTTTGCCCTCTTTTTTCCAAAAGTAGATTGCCATGTCCGGTGTTAAAATAATTCTCTGAACACTGTTGTCTGTTATTTTATCCTTACTGAGGCATTTTGGTATACCTGTCAACATACGAACACAGCTAGATCACCATGTAGGCTTGAATACAAGACATGGAAAGTGAATATAGCTCAAGCTATGCAGCAGGTTGGATAGAAAAAGGAAATAGTGTTCCTACCTACAGAACAGACTACCTATAACATGACCGGCCCTCATCACATCTATAATTCAATACGCTTCCTCAGGAGCATAACAACCCCTCTGCTCCATAAGAGCGAAGGGCCTTCTAGCCCTGGATCCTGTCTGCAGTGACAGGTGCTTAGGGAAGGACATGATAACAGGGTGATACTGTCACTTCTAGTCTGCCTCAACTGGAGATTTTTGGCCTTTCTTACATTCAGGTTGTACCTTTTCTTTACTTTAATGGATTTTTATTTCAGTACTTTATGCAATTGATTTTTGAATGATAAAAAGTTTGTATCACCTATAACACACCATGGAAAGTAGTTCCATAGATAACACATGTTGTGTGAACCATCTCTGCTCTGAACCTGTTATTTATGTACCTCATCCAGTGACCCCCTAAGATCTTGTATTGGAAGAGATGTAAACAATTTATTCTTAATTACTATTTCCGTATTATAGCTCTCCAACAGTGATCATAAACCAGTCCTCGCTCTTCTAGCCCTAAACAGTGCTAGCTTACCTACTGATTCCTCGTACAGAAGCTTTTCCAGACCTTTGATCATGCTTGTTAATCTTCCCTGAATCTTTTCCAGTCTTTTAATATCCCATTTGAAATAGAAGAACCTTAGGAGGTCTAGGCTAATGCTACAGATTTTATCAGAGCATAGTTTCCTAACAAGTAAGGTTTATGAATCCTGTAGGTAGGACTGAGAAGATTTGCTAGCTGGTGGTCCACTTTCAAAGCAGACTGAGATACAGTTGTGAGGAAGCCATTGCACTTTCCTTTTCAGGTGAAAGAAACAGCAAAGAAATTAGAAGTAAGGCAAACACTTAATTCAGTACCTGTCAACTAAGTGTATTTGAAAAATGAATAGGAGAGAACTGAACCTCAAAATATACTTTGAAAGATCCTGGACGAACAGCCTGGGCAATAACTTCTCTAAACACAGAGCACCACAGTAAAAAAAATTTACAGGCAAACCAAAAATCCACCTTGCTGAAATTCTAACAGAGTACGAATGGGGCAGTCTAGTAAACTGGTAAGTAAAAGGCCGTAAGTATGCAACGGATACAAAACAAAACTAATAAAAACCAAAAGACTTATAAAGTATATGACTATAATAACTATACTTTCAGTATTTTAGAAATGTGATTTTTTTTATAAGGCGATGTATGTTTGAAGTATTCATTTAAAGAAACTGTAGCTTCTGATAATGCTAAAAATTTGGACACCTGATAGATGGCTAAATATTTTCCTGACTGAAATATTTTTGTAGATAAAAAAATTATAGAAATATAAGTAATTTAATATTATCATAAGCCACTCCAGTTATGTCAGGTGTGTAAACAGTGGTTTTGAAAATCATATGTGGTTATTATTTGAGCCTGCTCATTTCATTAAGACCAACAGGTCATGTAGTGAGCTGAACCATGGCAGGGAAGCCAGAAACTCAAGTGCTAGCCATAGTTGTAACATTGATTCATTCTTTGCCCACAGCAAATACTAAAGCCAACACTTTCAACGAGACCTGGTCTTTGATCCATTTTAAAGACATAAATAATCTTTTCAAAGCTGCTGACCTACAACTTCTAGTAATGTGAATAATTGTGGAGATGGGGATTCTCAGTTTAGGCCAAAGGGGAGGGGTCACACCATTAAATTTTTAGGACTTTTTCCCTTGCTACTCAGGAAAACTGACACATAAAATGTCCATGCTGAGCTGAAACAGCTGAGGTACAAGCAAACCTCATGTGAGGGAGCACCATCTTCAGCAGATTTGGGATGGGCAACTGGAGCCATATAATCTTAAACTACCTCTGCAGCAGTCAGCAAAGCTTATCTATCAAGAGTCCTAATCAAACTAAGTGCCATTGTGTCTGCGGACTTTCTGTGGGATTTGTGCTCATGGGCAATTTGGGTTCCCTTGGAAATACCAACCTGTGTAATTACACGCTGTCATACGTAATGGGAAGGACTGGATGGTATCACAATATGGTCTTCACATCTATTTGATATAATAAGCTGCTCTGAAAAGAACGCTATCTACTGCCCATCAGGCAGTTTTGTTTCAGATTGTGCATAGGGTGTTTTTATTGTAGCCCTTTTGATAAAACAGGCCAAAAAATCCACAAGTACAGGGAAGACTTAAAAGCAGAGAATACCAAAACAAATAAGCAAAAAAATATCGCTGCAGCTGACTTTGTAGACTACTATGCTTAACACAGGACTTCCAGCAGTATTTTGAGGAACCCAACTGTTTACGCAATCTGTGTTATAACAAGTAAATTGGAACTACATTTATTAGAATAAAAAATAATGACCTAGTGAAGACAGAGTTACTAGGTCATTATTAGTCCAAGAGTTTAGTCCAAGGCTATACTCATCAAAATTCCCTCAATAAAAGCAGGTGACTAAGACATG